GAAGCTACAAGTGTCTTTTTAAAGTCCAAGGTTATACAGTTCCATGAAATTGTCATAGTTGCAGAACAAAAGAAAGTCATAAATCAAGGCATTTCCTAAGTACATGGAGGGTTGTGTTTCCCTCGAATTTCCCAGAGCTCACTCTGTTGTGGCGCCAAGGCTTCGATTATCTCAGAGTCCTTCCGAGGGTTGTTCAGGGCTCTGTGGGGAGTGCTGGGTCCAGCAGCTGCACAATTCAAAAGATCAGTGATGAGTAATAAGGGTTTAGAGAGCCTTGGGATCCGGTGGGGAAGAGCACTGGCCCTAGGCTGTGTCGAAAGGGGACCTGCACACCTCTGGCTATTCTATGGAACTAGGAACTAGGTTCTAAGAAGAGGTGCCAGGTTTCACCTCTGACCACAGCCTTTCTCAGTCCCAAGGAGCTCTGCAGGAGCTCATGAAGTCAAAATTATTTTCATAGCCATGTCAGACCATGAGTTGCTTTTCTTTTTCCACTGGCATAGTTGGCCTGGATCAAAAGCACTGGTGGTTCAAGCTGCCATGGGCCTGGCAATCTCAAAAACTCCCTGTAGCCACCGGATTCCACTACACAGAGGGAGCAAACAGGAGTGACAGCTGGTTTTATGTAATGTCCGCAGGGAAATTGTTCGCACTGCTCATAGTATGAACTCACAATCCAGGACCTGGAGAGATGCCTCAGTGGGTAAAATGCTCGTAATGCAAACATGAGAAGCTGAGTTTAAATCTTCAGAAACCACATAGAAAGTGAGTATAGCGCTATGTTCCTTTAATCCCAGAGCTGGGGAAGTGGAGACACGATCCCCAGGACTTGCTGCCAGCAAGGTGAGCAGAATTGGTGATCTCTAGCCAGGGTTTAGTGAGAGACCCTGTCTAGAAAAGTAAGGTGGTGAGTGACTGAGGAAGACAACTGAGGTTGACCTCCATTTTTTTTTTAAACACACACACACAGCGGGGAGAGGCAGACATGTTCAACTACACACACATATACATCACACACACAAAACAACCACAGGCCATGGTCACACATCTTTCTAGGACTACATGTAACAGAATGGAAAGAAGATTGTCCTAGGTGGGGTTATTATGATGAAACACTATGAACAAAAGCAACTTGGGGTGGAAAGGGTCTATTTGACTCCTATATTCTGAATCGCAGTCCACTGAGGGAAGCTAAGGCTGGAACTCAAATCAGGCAGGAACCTGGAGACCGGAGCTGATACAGAGACCATGGGGAGGGTGCTGCTTACTGGCTTGCTCCTCATGGCTTACTTGGTCTGCTTTCTTATGGTGCCCAGTACCACCAGCCCAGGGATGGCACCACCCATAAATGACTGAGTTTTCCCACTTCACTAATTAAGAAAATTCCCCATCTTACGGAGGCAATTTACCAGTTGAGGTTTCCTTCCCTTAGATGACTGCAGCTTCTGTCGAGTTGACAAAAGGAGCCAGCACAAAGGTGCCGAGCATTTCAGAGTGCATTCCAAGTTTTTTGTATCTGTTGAGGGTTTGTTTTGTTACCTACTGTGTATGTTGTCAATTTTAGAGAAGGTTCCATGAGGTGCTGGGAAGAAGGCATGTTCTTATATATTTGGATGGAATGTTCTATAGATGTCTATTAAGTCCATTTGAGTCATAATATCTGTTAGTTTCCTCATTTCTCAGTCATTTCTGTCTGGCAGTCCTGTGGTGAGAATGGGGTGTTGAAGTCTCCCACTATTGGTGTGTGGGGTTTAATGTGTGATTTAGTAGTGTTTCTTTTACAAATGTGGGTGCCCTTTTATTTGGGGCATAGATGTTCAGAATTGAGATTTCCTCTTGATAGATTTTTCTTGTGATGAATATGAAATGTCCTTCTTTATCTCTTTTGTTTGATTTTAGTTTGAAGTCTATTTTTTTTTTAGATATTAGGATAGGTACACCAACTTGTTTCTTAGGTCCATTTGACTGGAAATTCTTTTTCCAATCTTTTACTCTGAGATAAAGTCTGTCTTTCAGGTTGAGATGTGTTTCTTGTATACAGCAGAAGGATGGATTCTGTTTTCATATACAATCTGTTAGCCTGTGTCTTTTTATAGGAAAATTGAGTCCATTTATATTAAGGGATATTAATGACCAGTGATTGCTAGTTCCTGCTATTTTTGTTGTTGTTGTTGACATTGTGTGTGTTTTCCTTCTTTGGTATTTGCTGCTATGAGATCATATATAGCCTGTGTTTTGTGGGTATAGCTAACTTCTTTGGGTGGGAGTTTTCCTTCTAGTACTTTTTGTAGGGCTGGATTTGTGGATAGGTATTGGTTAAATCTGGTTGTATCACGGAATATTGTATTTTGTCTGTCTATGGTGACTGAAAGCTTTCTTGAGCAAGTCATGATGATTGTAAATTCTACATTTCCCAACCCTCTCTTGTCTGAAACGTGTGTGTGTGTGTGTGTGTGTGTGTGTGTGTGTTTGCATTTACTTATTTATTGTGGGAATGGACTGAGCACATGTGTGGAGGTTAGACGAGGCAGGGGAGGGTGGCAACCACCACTTTCGGAATGGTAACATCCAACCTTCCCTGCAGCATACAGAAGTGGGTTACTTCTGTGGGCATCCTTTTCCTTCTGCTTAGACACGCTTCTCTTTCTCATTTTGCTGGGCCAAGGTCAGTGGAGAGATAGTGAAAGGCACCTGGATTCCTCAACCACAGAGAGCCCCTCTGTGTCCCTTGCAAATTGAAATCCAAAGGTCTTGGTTCCAATAGTTATAAATAAACATGACGTCATTGGTCTGAGCACCCTACTGGACATATCTTTTGGCTTCCTGCTCTGATCTTAAAGCCCACAAAGCAAGAGCGGTTTACAATGTATCGTGTCCTAGGAAGCCACAGTAACACTCACCTCCTGTTGTCCTGCCTTGAGGTACCCAGTGTCCCCTGCTAGAAACACCCTTCCCCCCTGCCCTGTACCTACCTCTGCCACTGAAAACTGCTCCTCCTTTCTATTCCAGCTTTTTCTTTTGTCTTCCCTGATTTCATTTGGGTTTAGAGATGAATCCATTTCCATTGTAGTTTTTGGATCCACTAATTTATTTTTAAAAGTGTGTGTGTGTGTGTGTGTGTGTGTGTGTGTGTGTGTGTGTATGAACACATAGCTGCCTGCCTGTGTTCATGAGTATGTAGAGGTCAGAGGGAAACCTGCAGAAGTCAGTTTTCTCCTACCACGTGATGGGCTCCTTTACTCGCTGAGCCATCTCACCCTTGCTGTGAATTGTATGCTTCCTGAAGGCAGGGAAGTTGTTCCATCTCTTCTCTTCCCGCGGAGCGACTCCGAGATAGCACACTCCCAAGACTCCTGCCACGAGTGGAATGGAATCTGGAAACCAGACAAAGCTCTATATGTCCAGGGGCATCTTGTGCTGTGGGAGACTCTCCACTAGAGGGTGCCCTTAGCTGATGCCAGAATCAGTTCCCGCCCCTCTCTCCCTCTGGGCTGGGCGGGGTCTCACTGTGGGAGGGGCCTGGTTCTCTATGGCTTCCAAAGTGCCACAGCAAATGTTCCTTCAGATGGTAGGACACTCATACTGGAGGGAGAAATCCTCTCCATCACACAAGTGAAGAAACCAAACTAGAACGGAGAGAGCGGAAAACCTGAAAATGCCATCGTATGGGGCAAGGTTGGAATCAGTCCCTTTCTAGATCCTAGGGTTCAGCTTAGAGACTGGAATAATCCATTCCTTCATTCTTTCAACAAAATTTATTTAGCAGCTACTGTGTGTTCCAAGGGGAGCACATTGGTGAGCTAACCACACACAGTCCCAGCCTCCTCCTGAGCATAATTCTTTGTCTCCCAGGCAACCTAGTCCTCTCCACTCCGGCTGTTTCTTCCCTGAATCTTTTCCTTACCCAGCAGTCTCTCCCCGTGGCCATCTGCTGAAAACTCGCTCATCCTCTCATCCACTTCTCGGGCCATGAACAGCCAGTCCTCAAAGGTGAGGGTTCAGATTCCATATCACCTCTGTGCAACTACCACCTGGGATGGGCTTGGGTCCTTGCTTCTCAAAACTGCATCCCAGGACTGGAGAGATGACTCAGTAGTGTGCCATGGAAGCAGGAGAACCAGATCTTCAGAACCTATGTAAAAGTCCGGCAGTCATGCCAGGACAGCCTCCTGTAAGCCCAGAACCTGGGAGGCAGACATGGGGACCTCCAGGAGAAACTGGCTAGAGAGACCAATGGAACTGCGAGCTCTGTGTTCAGTGAGAGACCCAACCTCAAAAAATGAAATGGAAAACAACTGAAGAAGGTTCCCAGCATTAGCTTCAGCTCCCCTGCTCGCCACAAGACACATCTTACACACACACACTTGCAATGTACACACATGCATGTACACACACACACAATGCACACACACTCACAATGCACATACACACTTGCAGTGCACACACACACGCACACGCACACACACATGCACACGCACACACACACGCACGCATGTGCACACACACACAAGTGAAAAGTGCATTAAGATGCTATCCTTCTGCCTCTTCATCACTACACCCCCAAGGAAAACACAAACCTTGGAACCCCATGAGAGCTGGATTCTGTGGGCGGGGCAGCAGGGGGCCATGAATTCGCTCTTCTACTAGCACTCTTTGCTGGACACCTCTGGAAGGAGCTGTCTCTCGGCTCACGGGAACAAGGCACAGCCTCTTGGTCTTTCTTGGAAGCCCCCTGGGGATGTGCACATTGGACACGTAATTGGGACTCTTAGGGGTTCACCTGGGTTGGTGGGCTTATGACAGGCAGCCTGGGTTCCCCCACCCCACCTCTTGTAACAACAGACCTGGCTTCCTGGCGACCAAAACCACAAGCAGAAAGTAGAGGTGTAAGATACTCACGGCAGGCTGGGCCTGTGTGTAGGAGAGAGAGAGAGAGAGAGAGAGAGAGAGAGAGAGAGAGAGAGAGAGAGAGGCACAAAGGAGAACAAGAAGAGAAAGGGCAACGCGGGTGAGAGAGGCCACCAGGGCACGGCTGCCTCCCCGCACCAGGATGGCACTTCCTACAGGCAGGCGTGTGTAGCAGCTGGAGAAGGCACCAGACATGTGGCTCCTCGTTGGGATCGCTGGACTGCTGACAGCGGCTCTCTCAGGTAGATCTCACTTATGCTAGAGGGCCTGGGTCCTGAGAGCTTGACCTCTTGCTAGCTGTTTCCTCGTGGCCACCTTTGTAGAGCCTTTAAGTTAAGACCTTAACTGGTGTTAAGACAACACCTTGGGGCTTGAGATGACACGGGGACCCCGTAAGGGACCAGAATGGGCTGGATGGTGCTCTCATCCTGAAAGGCCTCCTGGGAGTGAGATGAACAAGCTTTGTGCCTGACTAGGGTCCTAGGCCTGGGGAGGGGAGCACACCACCACCCACCCGTAGGCTCAGGAAGTCCCCCCATACGCCTTCTTACCATTTCACAGGAAGGAAGGAACCACTCCTTTGAGAAACAGGACCAACCGACATCGGTTAAGCCCCATGTTAAGCCCCAGGGTAGGGCTCCCCGGGACTGGAGGCAGAACCCAGGGAGACCCAGGGGACCCTTAGACTGTCATTCTTGGTGACTTCAGTTCATCCTCTTGGATTAATTTGAGATACAAGTGATCAGGAAGGCTCTTGAGGTCCCAAGTTATCCTCTGAGTGCTGAGGTATTCTGGGCTCCTGGGCCAGAGTTCGGGGGCAAAGGCCTGGAATCACCAGACACTTGTGAGGTACAGTAGAGAATGGAGGCCAAGTTACTGGAACAGGCAACAGTCCAGAGACTCAGAGTTCCTGCACTTTCTGGGACTTACATCTGGGGGAGGAAGATGGTATAGAAACAGATTTACGGCCTAAGGAGTTAGGTCTGCCCTACAGCAGGGGAGCCCGGGCAGAGCCGTAGTGATAGCCGGCTGGCTTCAGAGGTTGTGAGCACTCAGGGATATCCAAAGAATTGTCTCTTCTCTGTCTGGATCTGTGGCCATGTTCTCTAAGCTTCCTGGTGTCAGATTGGCTTAGGGAGAAAGTCATTTTACTCTGGAAGAGGGACTTTCACATCTTGCACAGGTGGGGCCTGGGTCTGGCTGTCCTTTCTTGACCAGCCATTCCCAAAGTGCTTACTCTCGGGACTCAGCTGCCCTCTGCCCAGGCGGACTGCAGCTGGTGAAAGGCCTCCTGCCTCTTCCTGTCCGTCAGTGCCACCATCCCTGACCTTCCTAAGAGGCCCGGTACAGGCTCAGGATTAAGTCCTAAAGCAAAAGGACTGCTAGTAGCCCAGACTGGGGCTTCAAACGAACCAGCTCCTTCTCTTTCCACTGCCTCCCAGTAGGAGTGAGGGCTGGGGCTGAGCCGGGTGGATACAGGAGCCCTTTGTGCTGAGGCTGAGGTGGCTGGTCCTAGGTCTGAGGAGAAGGGTCCAGGGTGATGCCCATGGGAAGGCAAGATCTCCGCAGCAGGCCGGTCCAGAGAGTCTCCGTCGGTGTGTGCTGTGCCTGCCTCCTGCACGGAATCAGTACCTCCAGCTCCCTCCTGTCCCCCTGTCCCTGTGTCAGTGTCCCCCCAGCTCCCTCCTGTCGCCGGTCCCTGTGTCAATGTCCCCCTGGCTTCTTCCTGTCCCCGTGCTGATTGCCGATGTCAGTTGACTTTCTTATTGTTACCAATACAAGTTTAGTTTTTTTAAAAAACAAACAAACAAACAAAGCAAACCACTCAAAAAACTTTGTTATGTTGTAAGTGGAAAACTCTTAATATTCACCAGTAATTAAGGGGAAATTAAAAATAAATGGCGGCAAAAACCAACCTGTGGCAATTGAAATGAGGCCAACCAAGCTCCTGGCGCCTAAGGCCTAGACCCACCTTCCCTCTTAGTTAAAGGGGTGATGAGGGAGGGATAAAGACATCCTGGTTAAAAAGTGGTTATTTTCTTCTGAACTTGTCCAGCACTCTGAGCATGAATAGTCCCCTCTTTGGGCAATGTTTGTTCATCAGTCACTGATGGTCTATGTCCCACTGAGAAATGTCCTGAGGAGGATGAACTTTGCAAGTGTAAGGAAAACTGCACCCAAGGTGTCCCCATGTCTCTCTCCTGCTGATGTTAGGGAGGCTGAGACACTGCGTTCTGGGCTTGAACGTTCCTTCCCCTCTGCCTGACCTGGTAGGCCCTGCTGACTGGGCACGGAAATGCTTACAGGGGTGGTGGATCTGTGTGGACCACACGTGCCTGGGGAAAGGATATTAAGAGAAAAGAGGTAGAAAATGAAGAACAGCAAGAATAAAGGGAAGAGAAGGGTGAAGCCTGGTGAGGTTCTGGTGCTCTCTGCTCGGGAACGGGTCCAAGCCTGAGGGGTCCAGGCCTTGTTTGGTTCTATTCTGAGGGTCAGGGGCTGGCAGTTGTAGGTGCTGGCTTTCCTAAGAGCTGTAGGACTCTCCTCTTCTTAGGCCTCCTCAGTTAGGCCTGGTGCCTAGCTCCCCACTCAGTCCCACACAGCTTTCTCTGCCTAGCTGGCCCCAGTTAAGGCTTGGATGTTACTGGGTGACCACGGCTTAGAGAGACAGACCCTCTGGTTCACGATGATGTTCCCTGTTACCCGGGCCGAGTTCTGTGCCTCAGAGCCCTAGTCATCCAAGGGAAGGAGACTGAGATAGTAAAGTAGAAGCCCTGATGAGAGGGAAGACAGGGTTATGAAACTAGTTTTCATCCATTGTTGCTTCCGATTCCCCAGGGCCTGAGCTCCCATCCTTCCCTGGTTCCCACTTTCCTGGTTAGTGGATAAAGTCTTTTGTGTCCTGAAAAGGCAGCTTGTATTATTTTAAAATATTAGAACTTTGGGCTGGAGATGCCACTCAGTGGTTGAGCGTTTGTCTAGTGTGTACAAGATGCCCATTTTGACACCCAGCACCACACATACAGAAATGGTTTAATTTTTAAAAAGTAATCTATTTTTCCTTATTTGCAAATATAAATTTTGTTTTATTTGTAAGCTTGATCATTTCAAGGGGCCTCTGAATCAATCAGGCTGAAGAGAGTAACCTCTTTAAATAATAAATGTCCCTTACTAATTAATTCTAGCTAATTAATTCCCTCTGCTCTGTGCTTTCCAATATGGCAGCCACTGTTACTTCCATCTGAGATGTATCAGTGCAAATCACAGAACAAACTCTGAAAATGAGTTAAAATTATATATATATATATATATATATATATATATATATATATATATAGTGTGTGTGTGTGTGTGTATATATTAATGCATGACACAGCACACATGGAGGTCAGAAAACAGCTTTTAGGAACTGACTTTCTCCTTCTGACATGTGGGTCTTGGGAATGGACCTCAGGTTGCAGGCTTGGCTGTAAGCACCTTTGCCCATTGAACCGTCTTACCAGCCCTTCTTTGATATTCTAAACTGAATTTAGGAATTGAGGGGTTCAAATATTCACACACATCCCTCACTGACCTCCAGTCCTTGCAGGTTCTAGGCAAGTGTTCTGTGTGTGCTAAACTCTCAGACCCGTGAATCCGTTCCCCTTCACAGCAGGGAACAAACTCTTCCCAAGAAAGGGTGTTTTTAGACCTAAGACTCTGACACGAGCAAAGCGACCGCGAGATTCTCCTAACTATTCTAATGAGGTTGGCAGATGTTATCAAATTATCTTGGACTTTTACATTAAACTGTGAACTGAAAGCAGCTGATCCATCGTGTGCACGAGTTCTGAGGACCACATGTCCTCAAATATCACAAACACGGGATTTTTACATACCAATGCACAGAAGTTGACCCAACTTTCACTTTGCGCTCCTCTAGAAATACTAGAAGGTTCTACTTATTTAATCAGGGATGCTATGTAAGGTCTAGCCTCATTGGAAAGATTTGCTGGAGGTTGGGGCTTTCTCAAGCAGCGAGAATCTGTCATGTTGGTGGATTCAGTTGAGGTCGGCTCTTCCGTCATTTTACAAAAATAGAAGGCATGATTCTTGTGTGCTGCAAATGGTCACGCTGTGTCTTTCTGTCCTTCAACTGGGCAGTCCTTCGACCCACAGTTTCTGGGTACATGGATCACAAACCTAATCTTCTATATCTGTGTCCTCACCTGGGCGATTAAAATCCCTCACGTGTCCACTCTTTCATTCCATTCCATATCCCATCCTCCTGCCTGCATTACAGCTCGCAGATGTATCAGTGACACTGGACAGACTTCCGCATCATCTGACTTCTCGTGCTGTCTGGCCACAGGTGACAACTGATAAGGGACGAGTGGCCATCCTGCAGGGTAGTACTGGCACATTTAGTTAGCTGTAGATGGTTTCAGAGTGATCTGAGAGGTCCAAGATACACTGCCGAGAGCTCCCATGCTCGTTCTGGGCTTGCCAAGACCTTCTTTGCTGCCCATACCAGCCTCATTCCTTACAAGAAAGTTCTTGAGAAAGCCAGGCTCTGGCTGCTGGATTCTGAGGCTAAAAAAAAAATCCAAGTTTTCCCCTGAGACAAAAAGAATAAGTAGCTCTTGGTGGGGGTCAGCAAGATGGTTCAGCCAAATCTGGTGACGTGAATTAGAGCCCTGGGAACCACATGGTGGGAGGAGAGAACAGATTCACACTTGTTCTCTGACCTCCATGTATGTACTGTGACACACCCATATACATACGAGAGAGAGAGAGAGACAGAGACAGAGAGAAAGAAAGAAAGAAAGAAAGAAAGAAAGAAAGAAAGAAAGAAAGAAAAGGTGATCAGGACTGATCAGGACAGGGCTGGCAGGTCTAACAGAAAAAGACCAGGTCACCTTGCCCAAGCCTGGACCACAGACTGAAGCTACAAATTTTAGTGCCTGTGCCAGGTCCGAGGCTTGCACTGAGGAGCCCTTGAAGGCTGTCATTCCCAGGTTGCCAGTATCTCCACCCCTTAACCCTTCTTAAAGGACGTTTTAAAGTGGACTCGTGTTTATTCATAGAAGAAAATCCACGTGGCTCACAGGGGAAGCCATTGGAAAGCACCTGAATGTGCTGTCAGTAAAAAGAAATGTCGTGGAAACAGAAAGATGTCACCAGACTCTAGACGCCAGCCATCTGCTTTGCTACTCTCTTTCCTCTAAAGCGGGGGGTTGTGGGTGCCAGGGATGTTTACAAC